TATGCTATTACATTATCTTACAAAACTGAGGACATTGATAATAAGAAGAATGGTAGAAAATAAAACCATTTTTTCTGTCCAACAAAGCAATTACTCTGTATAATCAAAACAGGCTTTAGACTGTGCAATACAGAAACACGTTCTCCTCAATAATGAAGTGTCAAAGTCTAAGGAATGTGTGCATGTGCTCATCCTCTGTATGCTGGGCTAGCTGGATCAGTATTTTTGATTCAGTTTACTTAGAGCCAGAGATCCATATTGCAAGGAAAGAACTGTCTCTTCTGAGATACTTTGCTGAAAAACATGTGTATCTCATTCTGTAAGATTATCAGCCAATATATCATTTTTTTATATATATTTTCCTGTTAGTGCTGGAGTTACTGTCGTATATGAACTTATATCTTTCAGTTGTCTGGTTCTGATTCATAATATTTCTAGCTAATGTTAGTTTTTATCCTACAATGCCTCAAGAGTTTCTTTATATCCTTTACACCCCAGATGTACAGGAACCTTCATCACATTAGGAGGTTCCCTGTTTCTCTCCAGCTTTGTGATTTAGTGAAGCATCTTGGCATAAGATTTTCTCTCTGCTTTACTTCTTCTAAACAATTTAACGCATTTAAGTGGCCTTGAACATGATCACTTCTGCTGCACAGCTGGGCCTACAGCAAATCCCCAGAATCAACCAGCCTGAAACTTCTAAGCCTGAAATTTGACTCAGAGTGTTGTTGCCTCAGGCGCAATCTTCTGTATTGCAGTTTGGCTCAGAAAAAAATAATGGGTATAGTTGTTTGTGCAAAGTCCTTTTTTTTTCTTTCTGTCCTATCTGATCTGATCCTATTTATCCTTCTGAAGAAATAATTTTAAAAGTGTTTCAGCATTTACTGCTGATTATTTATCAACTCCTTTCAAGTGAGTTTTCCCTTACTTCCTCTTGTCCGCTCTCCTAAAAAAAAGATATTTAAAGATATTTTAAAAGTATGTAAAGATAATGCAAAGGCATTCCAGATACTTCAGCCAGTGAGTCAGCTTTATCCAGGGCCCGGCTCAGATGTCAGTACACAAATACCTGTAGTATGGGGAACAAACAAGAGGAGACACCGAGCAGAGGTGCAGTGCTGGACCTTGGGGTCACCAATGGGGAGGAGTTTGTGGGGAATTTAGTGCTCCAAAGCAGCCTTGGCTGTAGTGACCACGAGATGGTGGAGTTCAAGATCCTCGGGGCAGTGAGGAGGGCACACAGCAAGCTCACTGCCCTGGACTTCAGGAGAGCAGACTTTGGCCTCTTCAAGGACCTACTTCACACGGTATCATGAGATAGAGCACTGGAAGGCAGAGGAGCCCAGAAATGCTGGCTGAATTTCAAGGATCACTTCCTCTAAGCTTAGCAGCAATGCATCCCAACAAGGAGGAAATTGGGAAAAAATACCAGGAGGTCAGAACTGGGGCTTATGCTGTTCAACATCTTTGTCAATGATGCTGACATGGACAGTGGGATCGAGTGCACCTTTGGCAAATTTACTGATGACACCAAGCTGTGTGGTGCAGTTGACACACTGGAGGGAAGGGGTACCATCCTGAGGGACCTGGACAGGCTTGAGCGGTGTGCCGATGCAAATTTCATGAAGTTCAGCAAAGCAAAGTGCGAGGTCCCTACACCTGGGTCATGGCAACCCCAGACACACCTACAGGTTGGGTGAAGAAGTGATTGAGAGCAGCCCTGTGAAGAAAGTCTTGGGGATGGTGGTTGATGAAAATCCCAGCATGAGCTGGCAGTGTGTGCTCGCAGCCCAGAGAGCCGATGGAATCCTGAGCTGCATCAAAAGGAACAGGTCAAGGGAGGGGATTCTCCCCCTCTACTCTGCTCTTATGAGACCCCACCTGGAGTACTGGATACAGTTCTGGTGTCCCCAACATAAGAAAGACATGAAACTTTTGGAGCAAGTCCAGAGGAGGGCCACGAAGTTGATAAGAGGACTGGAGCAACTCTGCTACGAAGAGAGGCTGAGAACATTGGGGCTGTTCAGCCTGGGGAAGAGAAGGTTGCATGGAGACCTCACAGTAATCTTGCAGTACCTGAAGGGGGCCTACAGGAAAGATGGAGAGGGACTCTTCATCAGGAACTGTAGTGAAGGACAAGGGGGAATAGGTACAAACTGAGAGAAAGGAAATTTAAGTTAGTTATTAGGAAGAAATTTTTTACTGTGAGGGTGGCAAGACACTCAAACCAGTTATCCAGGGAGGTTGTAGATGATCCCAATCCTGTCAGTGTTCAAAGCCAGGTTGGATAAGGCCTTGAGCAAACCTGTCTAGTGTGAGGTGCCCCTGCCCATGGCAGGGGGTTGGAACTAGATGATCTTTGAGGTCCATTCCAACCCCTTAACATTCTATAATTCTGTGATAATTAAAAACAAAAACAAAAACAAACATACAAAATAACCCAAAACCCAAGCAAACAAAAAACAAAACAAAACAAAAAAAATCCCCCACAAACAAATAAAAACCTAAACCCCAATCTATTTGGTCAGGAAATAAGCTTTTCTGACCAAATGGAGAAACACATACACATTCAGTTCACATTATTGTCTCCTAGACATACCAGTCACTCAGGGTGGTGGGCCATGTTTAAAAGTGACTGTGGGCAGACTGAAACACCCTTCTGTTTTCTCTAATGACTGACTTGTCAGTAGGGAACTGGTGTTTTATAATGTCCTTTGAACAGAAAGTGAAATTCTGAGGAAAATTTAAACGGTATTAGGTCACAGAATCACAGAACATGCTGATTTGGAAGGGACCCAGAAAGATCATCAAGTCCAGCTCCTGGCCCTGCACAGGATGAGCTCCGAGAGTCACAGCGTGTGCCCAAGAGTATCATCCAAACATTTTAACTGTCAGGCTTGGTGCTGCAACCGCTTCTCTGGTTTGCCAGCAAAACTTAAAACTCTGGACATGTGGAGGCCAGACTTTAGGCTGCTCAGGGAATTGGTAAGTAAGGTCCCCTGGAAAAGTGTTTTTGCAGGTGATGGGGTCCATCGATTCTGGTCACTTTTTAAACATCACATCCTAAGGGCAGAGGAGCAGGCAATTCCCAAACATCGGAAGTCAACTAGGCAAGGCAGAAGGCTGACTTGGCTGAGCAAGGATCTTCTCTTGGAAATAAGGCAAGAGAAGGAAGGTGTATGGCTGGTGGAAGCAAGGTCAAGTGACGTAGGAAGAATACAGAAATGCTGCTTGCTGCTGTAGGGAGAAAATCCATGTGGCCAAAGCTCAACTGGAGCTGAAACTGGCCAGAAATGTGGGGAACAATAAAAAGAGTTTTTTCAAATACATTAATGGCAATAGGCAAAATAAAAGGCCCTTAGAAATGTATAAAATTATCCACTGCTTAATCAATTATGCACACATACGTGCCTTCTCCCTCAGAAGAGTCTGGAACAGGTGTCTACCTTATTTGATGTAATTTTGTTGGTTGTAAAATAAAATGCAATTGATACAGAGTATTTCTGGGTTTATTTGCCATATGTACACACAAAACCGAATACTAGGTTACCTCTGAATTTTTATTTTAAGTATGTTACACACATAAGTAAAAATTACAGAAAAAGCAAATGTGGCATTAGTTTACTATGTTCTAAGTAAGTTGCATATCCCTTGTAGCTGGAAGTCTTTCTTCTGCTCACAAGCCTCTTGAATTCCAGCAATGTAGGCATCTACCCTGCTCACAGAGGCAATACTGAATGATGTGCAGCTTTCTTCCTGTCAGCTGTTCAAAATTAGTCAAAGGATTATAGGAAGGGCCTCCTTGTCAACAGCCTGGGATTCCAAACTGTGTTAAAATCCTAATGTTGCCTGATCCGTTCTTGAAGTATTGTTTTAAGATTGTGTTTTTAAGGGCATGCAAATTCTCATGTTTGGGCTCAAATTCCAACGTTGTGGCATAAGCACCCACAGTCACTCTAGACTCCTTTTCCCTCGCCTTCAGCACCAGCAGTCCGATAAAGGGAGGTTCCTTGATTTCAGACTCCAGGATGTCTCTTGTGCTTTGGTCCAAAAGGACAAATCTTCTCTCCCTTTATTGTGTGCCTGAATTCAGCTTTTCTCATGTCCTTGTTTCACACATATGCACACTGTCAGCACCAAATGTAGGTGCTCACAGGCCTCATCTTCCATTCCTGTATCTCTTGGCTAATTAATACATAACCAAAGACATGGTTGATTGATTTCTTCTAAGCCATGGCTTTGGTCATCTCTTGTGTAAGTGACAAAAGTGTTGCACACATTTGGTTTTCGTGTTTTGTAAACAACAAAATAAGTCATCTTTACATGTTCTTAATATCACAGGCTTCTTCATTCTTATTTAAGATTAACAGTTTCATTGAAGCTTCCTATGGATTAATTTAGAGATGCCTCTGGGAAATATGTCCCTATTTCTCCTGCAGAGATAGAATGTTCATCTCTGTCCAGAAAGATTTTGAGAAAATCTTCCCCCTTCTTACCTTTCAGCTTGCCTATAACTCCAAGATTTAAAAGTGGTTTCAGCCTGTCTGTAACGCCAAGATTTAAAAGTGGATGTTGCTTTGATCCATCCAGGACAAGTCCATGAAGTTACCGCTTCAGCTTACTTAAACATCACGTGGTAAGTTACATCTCAGTTGCAGTAAAGGAACTCCACCCAAAATCAGGCTCAGAGCAGAGACAGCCCCGCACACGTAGCTTTTTGCACCTGTTGTGTTTGCTTTGGAAAGGTGAGAGCTATCAGTTCAGTGAAGAGCTTAAATCCCCCAGCTTTGCACTGCCATGGCCCTCCTGTAACTTGGTCTTCATATCAGAAGTGAGTTCTTGCTCAGAAAAAGAGGGCTTCACAACAGAGTGAAACAAAGCTGATACCAACTTCATAACAGCGTTGTAACACGTTGTGTATCTGTAATGGCATTTCTTTGCTGACTAACTCTCAAAAGTTACTGTAGTGCATAACAGTGCTTGTTGAGGGCTTGTCCAGCACAAACAGATCACTGACAAGTTACCCCTACTTTCAGGCTGTTCTGAAGAGACCACATATTATCACTCATTTCCTCTCCGTACCACTCAGCCATCCAGCTTGCTGGATGTTTACTGATGAGCCCACAGTGTCATCAACGTTAACTTAGACAGAACTTGAAGTAAGCTCATTTTTGCAAGTGCTGCTGCTGTTTAAATCCCGGAAAGTTGTCATTTCACGTACATTGATGAGGGTGAGCGTGTGTTCCATATCTGGTCCGGTTTTTTGGTAGTTGGGAGACATACTCTCTTTTCTTAGACATGTCTAAAAGAGAGAACACAAAGGAAAGCTTAAATCTGAGAATCCCTATGAAAGGCAATTAAAAGAAAAAGAAATTTGAAAGTTTTGCTTTTTCTCCTTGTTAACCATAGCTCATTACACCTTTTCCATTTGCTTGTTTCTGTTTCTTCCTAAATGAATGAACTGTATAGGACAAAAACCTTAGTGACAAAAGGAAATTTATATTTGATTCACATTTTCATCCGAACAAGCCTTGCATTAAGCTCTTGCAAGTGTGCTTCCACCTGCCTTCAATGCAAGCGGGGGCCCGAAATATTTTCATCAAGCTGTCAAAGTAAAACCCCAGTCCTGCCAACCACTTCTAAATTGAATGTTGCTGCTCGGTTTAGTGGAGATAAGGCACAATCTGCACTAAAGGAGAGGACAAGGCAACAGGTAATAACTTAACAGGAACTTTGAATAATGAAGCTCACCTGTGAGATCAGGGCAATATTAAATTTCGATGAAAGCTAGGTTAATACCTGAGACTGGACCTCACCCAAGAGTAAGATACACATAATTCCACCAGAGCGGTTATCTTCACTCCACAGCTCCCCCTTTTATAACTGCACTAAAACGGGAACTGTTTTTTTAATGAAAGGTAAGGACAGATTTCTGTAGAGATCTGAAATTCTTTCAGGACACTGAGAAGAATGGGGGCATCTGTCTCTTCTGAGTGATATCCCTGCTTTCATACTTTCATCCTAACAAATTCCTACAAGATTTATCTTGTCAAACTTTAGTCTGAACGGCACAAATTACTGGCAGAATTGTCAGTCTAAAAAAGAGACAGGCATAAATTTAATTGCTCCCTGAAGATACATGGAAAGCTACATTTAGTTTCAGCTAATTAGATATTCTCCAATCAACAGTTATGATTCATCTGCTGAGGAGCAAAACAAGATGGCAAATATGAAATAGGCAGCAGAAGTTAAATCTGACCTCCCAAAATGCTGGGATTGGTTTTTGTTTTATTTTTAATTACAAAGGCAGCTGGTGATGCACTGTATCAACACCCAAAACTCATGCTGCCTCAGGGCCAGGAGGCACAGACTTCTGCACAAGGGGGTGTCCTCACTGCCACCGCAGACAAAGCATAGTTTTGCTTCTGTGGAGTGAGCTTCCCAAGTACCTCCTCTCCCCTTCTTTCCCAGAACTACCAGTCAGCATTAAAGGTATGGATAAAAACCCCAAAGAGGTTCTTATCCATGTATCTTAAAATGTCTGTTTAGCAAGAAAGATGGGTGTTCACAGAAATGCCCATTGTCAGCACTCTAGAGGTGTGGAAACTGAGGCAAAGTACAGGTGGATTTGAACATGTCTGTCATGCCACCACACAAAGCAATGCCATAGGTGGGAAAGGGATCCCATGGACCTGTGCCTCCATCTCAGAAAAAGCTGTTCCCAGGTACCAAACCAGAAGAGCTGCTGCTATACCCTTAAGCCGATGGGTACTTTGCACGCAGAGTAACTAGAAGCAGAAATGGGCAGTGACGTGCAGAAAAACAACTGATGGTTTGAGTTAGATCAGGGTGCAGTGAGATGTTCTATGTCTTTGGAACTCCATCCTGTGTTCCTTGTGCACCTGAGTTTGATCATAAATTAAGTGTAAGCACCAATTTCAGCTGTGCTACAGTAGTGCTAGTACAGAAAACTGGGGGGGGGGGTTGTTGGGTTTATTGCTTTGCTTATGAGAAATTGAATTACTTACACAGGTAAAGAAGATGAGCAGCAAGTAAAAAATCCCAAGGCAAGTCAGCATGAAGAGTTCGCCCTTGTACTTTTTAAATTTTTCTTTTTCTATTCCAGGGCAACCTAAAATGTAAAGAAAGGTGTTATATTATTCTGGTGTTTGTAAAATATTTTTAACCTGTTACCTTCATGAAATGCCATATGGAGCATGGAACAGTTGAAGCTTTCTACTGTACCTGTTACTTTTAATGTGACCGTGCTGCTTAGATTGTGTTCTCCACTCTGTTCCCCCAAAGTGCACTTATATGTCCCACTGTTCCGGCTGGTAACATTTCTGATCCTCAGTGAAAAGAAGGTGTCGTTGGAGAGCTCCAAGGACCCCCCAAGTTCTTTTGGATAATGAGATTCCACATCAAGGACTTCCCATGATATTCCTTTCCCGTCTCCAGCCATCTGGAAAACACAAATACATTTCTTTTCTTGGGCAACAGTGTCATCCTCAGTTTTAGGAGAAAGAAAATTTTAAAGCCAGCTTATGGCTGAAAATGCAGAAGCTAAAGGGGGGGGGGGGATGACACAACCTCAAACCCATTTAATACATTCATGCTCACAATCCAAAAGTATAAGGGGTTTTGCTTAAATGGACCCTACATTTTTAAATAGGTACTATACAGCTATTCTGTTATAACTTCTTAAGCTGCCCTCACCTGAACACAAGCCTGGTAGAGATGCAACATGATAAAAGGCAGCAGTGGAGTCTGCTCTCAATGTGCCTACGCAGAGGCCCCAGAAGAATTCAGACAGAGAGAGGCAGTCCATGGGGATGGAGCAGAGGCAGCAAGAGGCAGCCCTACCCAGCTGCTTATCTGTGGCTCTGGGGAACACAGGTCCCCAGGAGAGCATGGCAGCAGGCAGGTAAGCTCCACCGCTGCCTGTGCTTGCCCTGCCAGCACGCTTTCTGCCACGCAGCGGTGAGAATGAATCCTGCTAACCCAGCCAGCATGCCACAGCACAATGACTCTGCCAGCACGGGCTGGCATCCTCCCACTGGCCCCCCAGCCCAGAGTCCCTTGTGTGGGAATGCAGCCCTGGAAACTGCTCTTTCCTATGCCACTTTATGTGCAGCTGATGCCTGGAACCACGTTGCCTCTCTGGAGGAACGAGGATTCTCCCATTCCCCTTCCTTCCCTTCCACTCTTTATTGGAACCCAAGAATAAAAAATTGCTTCGACTCCTTCAGATTCAGTTGCGTGAAGGTCACAAGCAGGTTCTGGTGCACTTAGGGAGCATTTGTATGTTGAATTTCTTAATTGTAACCAGAAGAGCTACATTCCTTGGCATTACTGAGAGGCTGCTGGAGGAATGAAGTGTATTCCCAGAACAGTTCGTACTGCGGGGTGATAGGATGCACTGAAAATGACAATTGGCTGGGAACCACAAAGAAAAGAGAAATCACTAAGTTGATTTGAAAGATGGGAGAAGGGTTTGAATTAGCCCGTGTCCATTCTTATTCATCGAAGTCGCTCCCAGGGATTCGAGGCAGCATGCCCTCCATGAAGGTTTCCCAAGTAATGAATTCAGTCTTTCTGTGGACCAGCAGAGCCAGAGCCAGCTCATAAGTCCAAGGCTCAGCCTTTCAGCCAAACCTATAACTAATGTAAACCAAGGACTTATTATTATTATTATTTTATTTTAATAGACACATTTTTGGGTTGTATGTTGGTGCTTACTTTCTATCAATACAGCTACTGCGTCGGGGTATAACAGTTACACTGTAAGTTATTAAAATTAACACAATTTTCTCATACTGGGGCTGGGAGTATCTGGTTTCCCTTTCATGTGTTTGCATGAGGAAAGCACACTCGGGAGTCTGGAGAGATATATGGGCCTGCTGCTCCATTTGATTTTGCTATTTTTTGCAGCCCTAAAATGGTGTAAAGCAAGCTGCAAGTTGACGAACTTTTCAGTAATTGGGGAATGACACTGAAGCACAAAATTTCCATAATTGTAGAGATTCTTTCTCAGAAGGGTTTCAGGTTTTTTAGTGCATGAACTGAAACAGAGAGCAGTAATTCCCTGGGACTTTACATACTTTACCCAGAAAGAGGGAAGAAAGTACCTTCTTCCTCTTAATCCCGCAGTAAATTTACCCCAGCTTCTCTTTCTTAATACACTCAGCCCCAAGCAGCTACAAGCATATGTATGGTGGTTTTCAGGCTGTAGGGACTTCATTATGCTACAGGGATTTGGGTATTTTCAGGCCCTGCACATTGTCAAACATGTGGCCAGAGGAATTCCTATACCCAGGCTGGCCTCAGCTCTGGTTACAACTCGGTCAATAGCAGTTACGTGGATAGAGTTGACCTCCCTCAAATCTAATCTTTGCCACTCTCCCTTCCCTTCCCATCCCCTTCCTCAGTGAAATTTAAAACTGCCCACAGGGCAATAAGGAGAACCAGCCAAGCAGCTTTGCATTGCCCTAAATTGCAAATAGAAGGTCTGAGCTACACGCAGAAAATTAGTTTTGTTTTAGGGTGGTTTTTTCGTTTTTTAACTCACTGGTAGCATAAATAATTGCTGTGTTGGGTGGCAAATGGTGCTGGAGTTCTTGTGGCTGAGATCTGGGAATGAGAAAACACTTTGATCTGTCTGTATGCAATTGTAATCAGCACTGCTCATATAAGGGAGAAGTCAATTAAGTCCACGTATTCCATGCCTAACCATGTGCTTATTCCAAGTGAAATGCTGGGTAAATGATTTAACTTCCCTATTTGACAGGAACAGTGAGGGATAGGATTGGTTATTGCCTCCAGAGCTTTTTAAGGTGCTCAGTTGCTGTCACAAGCAGAATGACGGTGACCCTGGCGACAAGCCAGTCAGAATTTTGCCTTACACAGGCTCCATGTAAGGCAAAGCAGTGTCGATGAAGCTGCACTAACAACATGCCTTTCCCCAAAACAGAAGAAAAAGTTATTTTGTGGTCTAATCTGACTCCGACACTTGTGGTGAAACCCGTGGTGACCTGGATGGGGGTTGAGAACCTTGCTTTTGGGGAGGAGGAGGAGCAGGAGCAGGAGGAGGGGGAGGAAAGGGCCATATATGTGGGTTTAACTGGGGGTTTGCATGCCTCTCTTTCTTCATTAAATCTTCCCTTTACTGAAGGGCAAAGGCAAGCAAGGCAATCTGTGGAGGTGCTCTGTGCCCAGCAGCATCCCAACATTTTTTAGGCTGCAGAGACATCTGGTGGCATTCTTCCAGCCTCTACAGGCAGTGCATCCACCTCTACTCAGGTCACAGCAAGCCCGTCTCTGATGTCTGAACCAAGCATCTTTCCACTGCAGTCTTATCTCCTGTTATCTTATTTTAAAAAAATACCTACCCCTCCCTTTTAAAATTCTCTAAGTAGAGAGGAAACATCTGAGCAAATTTGCAGTGTGTCCCCATATCCCAGCTGTATAAAAGGAAGTCCATGAGATGCTCAGTAAGGTCATCGTTCTGCCTTTTACTCTATTCAAGCTGACCTCTTTTCCCCTCAAACCTAATTAAAATTACAAAACTGCCATTTTGTTTGCCACCTCCTGTGAATTGCTTGGCAGACTATCACTAGACAGATCATTTTGCAGCTCAAGCTTTTATGATAAACCAGCTCTAATTCATGCCAAGTGTCCTCCAGGTGATACCACAGCCCAAGGTAACTGCTGGGGGTTTTACCTAATTAATTCCACACATGCTTAGAGGGATCGAAGCAAGCTCTGTCAGTGACAGCAATCCACTTGTGTAGGGACCATGCCTTCCCTTAATCGGTGAAAAAATATTTTCTGCCCAGGTTTCATTTGTGTTTCATTTCTCTTACACTTTGCTGGTGAGCCAGCAAAGGGCCTCATTTCCATGCTATCTGATATGGGTTACTGAAACAAGATTTTTTTTCTGGGACCTGCAGGCTGCCAGCATAATTCTGCCTATCTGCATAAAACTACCCATTAAGAAAATTAAATAATAAAAGAAATGCAAGTTTATGTTTATTGTCACATATACATTGGCCTGCAGCAATGTCTGTGACAGACTTTCAGAAATCAGCCTGGGGAAAAAAAAAAACCTACATAAGTCTGTTGTTTTCCATCTCCTCCATTGCAATGAGAAGAAACGCTCCTGCCAAGGGCTGATACTGTCCAACACCTTCATTAAGGACCTGGACACTGGGATAGTGTTCAGCTAGTTGCAGGTGACATAAAGCTGGGAACAGTGGCTGATACACAAGAGGGTCATGCCATCCAGAGGGACCTTGATGGGCTGGAGAAATTGGCTGACGAGAACCTTGTGAAGTTCAGAAAATGGAAACGCCAAGTCCTGCCCCTGGCGAAGAATAACCCCAGGCACCAGAACAGGCTGAGGACAACCTGCTGGGAAGGCCCTGGTGGACACCAAGTTGACCACAACTCAGCAATAAGCTCTTGTGACAAAGAAGGTTGATAGTCCTGGGCTGCACTTGGCAGAACATCTTCAGCAGATGCTGAAATGAGGTGATCCTTCCCCTCTGCTCAGTCCCTGCTGAGACACACCCTGAAGTGCTGGGGTCAGTGCTGGGCTCCCTGGTGCAAGAAAGACGTGGGCATACAGGAGAGAGTCCAGCAAAGGACCACAAAGATGACTACTATCCTGGAGCACCTGACATATGAGCAGAGGGTGGAAGAGATTATTCAGCCTGGAGGCGACCAGGCTCAGGGTCATTTTATCAACATTGATTCAACCTGATTGACAGGGGGATGCAGAAAACAAAGCCAGCCTCTTCCAGTGGCCTTCAGAGACAAGAGAAGAGGCAAGATTGGCACAAACTGAAATTCAGGAAATTCTACTTAAACACAAGAAAAGCTTTTTTTTACTGTTGGGGTGGTTGAACACTTGGATGGGCTGCCCAGAGAGGGTGGGGAGTCTCTATCCTTTGAGATATTTGAAACTAAACTGGACACAGCCATGAGCAACTAGCTCTAGTTGCCTTTTTTTAGTAAGTGTAATTGAAAATTATTATAGTTCCCAAAAGCTTGGAAACACTTGGTCTAAAGAGGTTGTGATTTTCCCACATATATTCTTTAATCAATTGACTGATTCTTATTAAGTTTCTCCTAGCCCAGAGCTTTCTGATAAGAACAGTGATGATGATACAGGAGATATTAAAATGAGATATGTTTGATAGAAAATACCACTGAGCTGATACATTGCTGTTCTCTGACTGGATGAATCATGAGAAATAAGTAGAATAATTAGACCTTCAACATTTCAGTGCCCTTCAGAAAATATTTCTTTTTCAGAGAACTAAATAAAAGGTGGAAGAAGGAGGAGGAGGAACACTTTTCTCAGTCCTAGCTGTCTGGGTTTTAGCCTCAGTTTTGCAAAGTGCTGCAGCATTACATGGTAGTACCACTAAACAAAGGCAGTTCACCCACGCTGTAGTACTTACACCTAACTAATCAATTAAATTTTAAGTTTACCATTAACATGTGAGAGTGGGTAGCTGTAAACTCTCTGCTCTCATTAAATACCTTTTCTCATTGAACTTTTCCCACACTAAGGTTATCTTCCAGGTAAATCAAAGTGCCAATATAATCCGCTTTTTCCATAAAAGCAAAATGTTATTTCAAACAAAATGGTTCAGGTCCAAAACTGATGTCAGTTTAAAGGTGGAACGTATTAAGCATCAAATGATTTCCTTCTGAGGGTGGGATGGTTGTAAAAATGGTTTTGTTTAAAATTATACCAGGCATAATGGCCAAGTTGAAATTTCTGTTATAGAGAGCTAAAACCTACATATGACCAGAAGGAATTTATTTTCTGAAGCAAAATATATAGAATTCTGGCCATGCCCAATAGCCAATATGTAATGAAACACAACTAAGCTGAAACTGCTTCGTAGGTGTATTTTTCAGCACAAAAGCCCTTTCACGTTTGATTAGTGCTGAAGGTGCATCCATATGGTTCCTATACAGTGTCATGTAGAGATACCAAAGTGAAATTTGAAAATAACATATATAAATTGTGGGCACATGTGAGTGAACTCTGAATGTGCTGTAGAGGGGAAGAAAAAAAAAATAAAAACCCAAAGTAAAAAAATCCAAACCTCAACCCCAAAACAACAGCGAAGGAACTACGTGTGACACATGAGCCAGCTGGAAAAGCCCTTTGACTCAGTCACACAGTCTCTTTATTGTTTAGTTGGTTTGCTTGTTTTGTTTTTTTTTTTAGCTAAGGGCATCCAGCACTAGTGCATGTCAGGCAAAGAATTGTTTTGGTCATGAAATAATTTCCACTCCTCCCTTTCTGTCTAAATCATTGATGTGATGAAACTACTTGGGGATAAATAGATGTCTGAGGAGCATTTGACTCACTGCTTTGCATATGTTAGAAATTAGACTGAAGTAATTTACCTATGCTAATAGATCACAGATAGGCACATTTAGCAGAAGCTATTTCCTTTGAAGGAAGGTGCAATTAATATTAAATGTCTATAATGTTTATTCTTATTTTGTAACATGACTTCCCACTGTAATTCTGCCCCAGTTTTATATTTTTCAGGGAAATGTTATAAAGTTAACCGATTTCTCTCCACTGAAGCACAGCCTTCTTTCCTCTTCCTCAAGATTTGTTTTAGATTAAGACTTTTCTGGCTATCACGTGAACAAAATAGTGAAATATCCACTGGGACTTCATTTGTGTGTGTTTAAACTTGGTTTTCAAACTGGATATAAAGCGATAATTATCAGGTTTTATGACGTGGTTCTCATTTTCAGTGTTCTGCACAAAGAGAAACTGTTCAGTTTTCAATAGGCCTATGAGGCAAAAAGGTAAGTAAAGTTTCATTACACAGATTCTTGTCTCGTAGGTGGGCCATAGGGATTCAAACCAGTATTTCCATAGACAGTTCCCAGTGCCTGAGTGCTTATGCAAAAATGACCTAGTTTTCAGTTCTCAGTTGGCAAACTTCTACACTGCTCATACACTGTTTTATGGCACGTAGGTTGCCCAGCATCCTAAAAATCTACCACACTGTAAGACTACCATCATTATGAGTTCTCTTTTTCATGGCCACATAGTAAATGGGATGAGAGCTGCATCAGGCTGGAAGAGGACCTGGTGCTCTACCTTCTCCCCAGTGTGTGTTTGGCCAGCCTAGTTAGAAACTATTCCCAAGTTAAAACCGTTTTGTCTGAGCTGACTGGCTGTGGTTCTGATTCTACACAGAACTACTTACACAGGTGACTTCATGCATGAGAGTAATTAGCTCCAGTGATCCTGGATGCACAACAGGTGAAACACATTCATGCTATTTTTTTGCAGTGTGAGACATTAGCAAAAGTGAAGGAATTACTGAATTCAAACCCTCTTTTTTACATCCCGTTGGATTTTGACAGGTGAATATTAAGTCCTTTAAACAATGTTTTCTCCATACATAACTGAAAAAGCGAGTACTTTTAAATTATATATGTATATATATATGTTTTAGCAGATTGTAACAAACTACTTTAAAAGTACCCTTAATTGGTCTGAGCATGCAGAGATGCCAGTGGGAAGGAGGGGTTCATTCACCAAACGCTCATCCTATGCAAACAGCTGCACATGCAGCACTGTAATTTTGCCACCATAATTTTTTTTAAAGCGGCAGAAACAAAGGTTAATTGCTTGCACTTACTTCACAGTTCAAAGTGACCTCATACAAAAGATTTCACTTAACAGCTGCTTGAACTTTACAGCCTGAAATTTCATACCATTTGTTGGAATTACCTTTTAATTGTCCCTTTGGGGGTATATGTGGCGTTTATTGATTAATCCTTCAGTAGTTGTTTCTAAATAACAGAATAATTACCAATGTTGGGTAGCCCAGTCACACTCCACCATGCCCCACCCTCCTATTTCACTGCTGGGTGGAGACAGCAGCACAGAGGCAGAGTGTAGCAGGGTGAGGAAAGATCTTCAAGCTGCTGCCTATTTAGCTAGCCCCATAAGTAGAAGTATTGCTGCTTCAGCACCTAACACTGAGCCTAAGTTACTTCTTCCTGCACCAAGTCAGGCTTTTTAGATTTGGTGCTCTGCTTTTCCTGATGTGGCTGCAACTGTGGCTTGGGCAAGCATCACCACCTGCCTGTCCCCAAGCATCACCACCTGCCTGTCCCCACTTACCACCTCTCTGCTGGGACGAGTAATCAGAAGGCTTCAGTACCATGGTTGGAGCCATTAGCTCTGAGGATTGTGGAAAGAGCTGATGGTAGCTAGACTTTTGTTACTTCTTGTGTCAGGAGAGAAAAAAGTGTGAGGTCCTGTCATGCTCGACACTGGGAAAAGAAGCCTTTTCCTGAGCAAAATGGGTGAAGCGGGAAGAGGAAGGACACGATGGAGGGAAAGCAGATTGTAGGGACAGGGCAGGGAACATGCACTGGCAGTCTGGACTGTAACAGCCTGACTGCTGCAAAGGGAAGCAGCACTCGTGAGGGCTCCTGAGGAAGGGGCCCATACAAAAAGCATTATCAAATATCACCCTCCCCTGCATATGCAGTCATTTTTTCTCAGGTGGAACTGTAAATAGCTACAAGAAAACAAGGAATTTGGTCTATATGTTTTCTCTACACTTCTTCATCAGGGCTTTTGACTGCTGTTTGCTGCCTGGGCCTCCCAGCTGCCATTGAACTCAGAGAAAGGATGTGCTTCGGGAGGATTGCCACACCTCAGCCTGTTTTTGTTGACTTCCAGCACTGGCTTTGGGGACAATTTTCTCAAATCCAGTTAACTCCTGTATTTTTTCTTCCCCACCCCCTACCACTTCTCAGTTTCTGCTCAACTCCTCCAGGTCCACCAGACTCCATGGTTTGCACTCAATGAGCTCCCTGCCTTTCTTAGACACTGTGGGAAAAACGGAGCCTTAAACAATGAGCATGTATCTGGTTGGAAAATACAGATCCTTTTCCAGTTTTAGAGGCAGAAATCAAAAAATAATAAGTTGACTCATATCCCAGCTCCCATAGTAAAATTCAACCAAGTGCATTATTCTCTCCTCTCTGTCTCTCACATGTGCTTAGTTCAGCACTTTGGAGAAAGAAGACTATAGATGTTGCACTTGGTGGTGGATTGTATCCAGGTGTTCAAAACAACTCTTTTGGGGTGCAGTTGTCATCTAGTCAGTAGGCAGATGCTCATTCTTGTTCAGCAATGAAATTCAGATGCATTGCAACTTTCAACCACAGAAACCCTATCTAAAAACACTGTTGGTTTACCCTAGGGAATGGTTTTAAAACTATATCTGACCAAACTGCTGAGGCTGTGGCTTTATGTTCTGGCAGAGATAAATTAACAGTTTTCACCCACCATAAATAGGGTTTTTTCCCTTCACTTCCATTGCTCCACCATCACATGGGAAAGTAATTCAACTCTGTAACCCACAAAATCTTTATTCACAGATCGATTTTCCACTACTATAACAAGCGACAAAAAGTTGACTGAACAGGCAACAAGAGGACCACCGAGACTGGCAGGAGTGTATGGCTGGGAGTGGGGAACGGAGGAGAACAAAACCTTCATTTTTTCCTGTTAATTTGGCTCACACTGTAAACTGAAACCATGCACTGAGATGCAAATACACAACGCCATACAGAACGTCAACAGTCACTTCTTCCACCACTGGGCAATTCTACCTCTCTATCTATAAGAAATTTTGTCTTGAAAATGATGAGCAGGATTTTCTGCTCATAGCTGATTGATCCATATATCCCTTCCTGCAAACAGGTGGTGAGCAGGGCTCCTGCTCTGCAGGTGGGAATTCGGAATCAGAGCAGTCAAGATTTTTAGCTCTGCATCTGCCTTCTGTGCACCCTGCCCTTGTGCCCAGCTCACTAGTCAAACCTTCCTAAAGAATAACAAGTACTTTTTTAGTTCTTCTATTTCAAAGAAAAAAATCAGCTCCTATTTGGGGAGGATTAACTAAGGAACATCAATGATATTGCAAGGCTTAAATGCCATTTTTTGCTCTGAAGAAAATCCAGGAAAGACCTTTCTTTGGAGTAGTAACTGGCAGGCTGCACATGGGGCATCACCTGAATTCTGATCCATGGAAGCCAGAAAAGCAGAAAAGATAGAAAAGCAGGCCAAGAGCCACTCAGAGAATCACGCTCAAATAGTCTGTCTACGATGGCAAGGAAAACATCTGTTTCCCGTGATCAGCTCAAGTGTTCGCACTTCTGCCTTATCTCTGCTGCGCTGACAGGAGAACGCCTCTCCAGAAAACAACTCATTTTGTACAAGCCAAGCCAGCATCAGGTAGGAAAGCAAAGCAGACCGCTCAAGTAACTTGGGTTTTTTTCTTACTTTATACCAAGACGCTGTCTGGTAGGCGATTGAGGCGTCCTGAAGAACCTTACAGGGCAGCAGCACTTCTTCAGCACACCTTACAGCAACGTCTGGGACCGCCACAGAAGTCCCACGGATCAAGCACCAAACTACAAAGCACAGGTACACATCTCATTTAGAAGAGATTGCTTATGTCAATCCTTCCTGTTTTCCCAAAACATATCCCCACAAAATGAAGACCTGAAAGAAAAAGGCAGGGCTGGCCGCTTACCATTGCACAGGATGATGAGCAGAGTGTAGACTACCAAAGACATGGCTTTTACTGCCTCAAATCACAGAGCAGCAACAGCGTGCCTCTTTGCAGGATGGACTGTCCGAGCCGAGTGAAACTGCTACTGCTTCTACAGTGATATTTCTGAAGGCAGTCTGGGGAATGCCCCAGACTTATCTTGAGGTTTTGTCGCAGGGAAAATCCCTACGTGTAAGCAACAAGGCTCCTCCCCTTAAATGCGTCAGGTCACTCCCATTTCTGCAACCGCTCGTGCTGCTGGCACCTCACCTCCCTTTTTTCTTCTTTTTTTTCCCCCTCTCTGTATTTATCTGAACAGAGTTCAGTTTGACCACTGTGGTTTGGTGTAAAGGCCACCAAAATCAGCACTGAAAGAGTCTCTCTTGAGTGGCAAAATGTCAGGGGAAAGGGCTTGTCGTCCTCCCAAAATCCCCTCTCAACCTTCTCTCTGCAGCTCTAACAGAACAGGATCTGTGCAGAGGTTGGCTTTATGAAGTGACATTTCTGAAACCACAGGTCACAGCACCACAAGAATGTTTTGACTTGGGGCTGAGGGCTAAGCGGGAGTTTTCAGCGTGGCTGAGCAATACAATCTGTATTTCTGTAGTGTTACCCGTTCAACTGCACATGTAGAACAGCAACTCTTCTTAGTATATTTTGTCATTTCCAAGACAAACAAGGGCATCTGGACTGCTGTAATTTTACCAAATTATGTGCTGGAAAATTTCATCATGGAAAAAAGTCAAGGCAGGTCCCAGAAGTGGAACCATTTGGACATCCCCTCTAGATATCTGGAGCGGGGCAGAAGTCCTTTCTTTGTGATCTGTGAGAGCCGTTTCCCCCTGGAGAATTTTTGAGGAAGTTCGAGGTCAATCACAGAAGCATCTACAAATCCTGAAACTGAAAGTTGCTGATGTTATTTTTGGAAAACCATTGTAGCTGCTGTCTTTAGGCTATTGAGATCATGATGGAGAGAAGCCGTTTAGGAAGGGGGGGTGAGATTTGAAGGGTGGAGAGTGTATGGTCAGCCTCTTTTGAAAACCAGGGTCCTGGAAGCCGCTTCAGTCTGGGCATCCTAAATCCAAATCACCTCTAGAAACTTCGTGAGAAGTCAGTTTGGCAAGTCTTCACCATGCAAAAGTCCAACTCAGATGGGTAGATGCTGTGGGTGGGTAACACTTCTGGAAACTCCACTCTGTTCTGTGAAGGAAGTCAGACAGCAATTTCACCAGGGGCTTCACTGTTGAAACAGCCCACTTATTTTTAAAGCTTTTTGCTTCTATCTTCATTGACCATCACGGTAAATATAACAGGCTCTGAGCTTTATTTTTCTCTTTGTATTTTCTGGTTTCAAGGACCTCAATCCATTACTTAGAAGGTACAAGTAAAATCTCAGAGGATCTTTTGAGAGTGAGAGAAAATCCTGAACTCTCACTTCTTTCTCCTGTGTGAAATAATAGAGTCCTTGAGAAGACAGAAGGAGGGGGAGGTTGCTGAAGGAAAGCTTAGAAAGAAGAGGGGTCCAGTTAATATATTTCACATCTGTTCTTCCCTAAAATGATGACTTTTCTGCCCCCATGAGTCAGTCACACACCAAGCCCACCCTTAAGGAGGGCACTCAGCTTTCATCCAAGTGCCTCTTTCTGTGAGTCCTGCAGAGCTATGTATTTACCCTTCATAAACCCGGCAAGAGGCGAAAACCTTCTCTCTACCTTCCTTTTCACTGGGGGAAAACCCCCAGTGAGCGAATCACAGTAAGCTCCTGCCTCTGCTGTGGGAATCCTTCCCACAACATCCTGACCAGATGTAGTTTGGAGGGGCTGTGCAGTGCCTAAGGCTGGGGTCACAGGTTTGGCCACACAGAAGTGCACTGAAGGTAAGCATAAAGAGTCAGGCTTCAGTTTGATCTGAGAAATGTACATGCCTCTCACACTTGCCAAGGTGATATTAAACAACATTCCTCCTCAGTTATGTAAAATACAGGACTCTAAAAACACAAAGGTTTTCCCTCCAGGACAGGCAGAGCTTCAAGGAAAACAGCCCTTTTTCCTCCAGAAGTATTTGCAAGCTCAGCTGCTGTTCCACAGCGCACTATGTGAAGCAGGAGAGCGCGATATAAAAAACAAAAACTGAAACTCCCTTTGCTAGGGGAGGAGAAATAATTTGGTTTCTAAACTTTCCCTGGTTGGGATTTTTTTCTTTAGGGAAACTTTGAACTGGGCTGTACTTTCCGTCCTAACTTTTAATACCCTTTCTATGGTTTCAAAGAGCAGGTCTATTGTCTCCAGAGCCCTGGAACCTGCTTTGAGTTTCACTCCTGTCCTGAGCAGTTGGAAGCAATGGTAGCTCCGTGGAAAGGCTTTGTGTGCTGGAGTGAAGAGGCAGTGATTGCCTGTCAGCCTTCTCCATAAGAAACAGATCCACATCTCTGCAGGCCCCTCAAGAACTGCAGGAGCTGCACAGTTGTGTGAATAAGTAGAAGTTTACCATTAAATGCATTGTTCTGTGTGCCTAATGAGACTTGCTTTCCTACTGGAGTGTCCTGTTGCCTCTGCCTCTCCTTCCCTCGCCTCCTCATACCAACTGTAAGCCCTTGATCTTACTAAGCAAGAATCACCATCTGCCCTGGTGAGTCCAGAGCCACACATGTGACGACTGACATTAGCAAGCAGTGTGTAAAACGGCTGGGTTCTGCCCACCTTTCCCTTAGCAAGGGGACTCATTTGGATCTTCATCTTTGACCCAGCTGCTGATTTTCATGAATTTCATAGGCACTCAATTCTCTTTGAGCCCCGATCCCTCTGTCAGCTTGATAGAAAGCAGGTTCAGAACATACTGGCTGATAGACAGCCAGATGGCACGATCACAGAAATTTCAGTCTCTGTGGGAAATGAGGCTAGAAGCACAAGGATGTGGGATGGATTCATAGGATAAGGTTAAAAAGTCAAGACTGTATATTTTTTTAGTGTTAATAGTGTCTGGAAAATGCTTTTGTGGAATCATATCCTGTTTCCTTGAACCAGGTAGCTACTACATCCCTCAGATACTTGAGTAGTAGATTTTTATGATTTTTTACTCCAGTGTGTTGCTGCAAAACATATGTAAGATTGCTTCTTATTTAGTATATTTTCTCCTGAGTATGAGTGTTCATCAGGAAACCCCTTTTTTTAAGAAAAAAAAAAAACACCTTAGGTCTCTAGGTACAAGGAGTACAGAACTTTCCACAAGGAAGGATCAAAGGTTAAGACAACAGCACCAAAAGGGCATTTAGCATTTTTGTGGAGGCACAGATTTTTCTGTATTTGGGATATGGTTATCAAATATCATTTGTTCCACTGCATTTAAGTTCCTGCTTTGAATAAGGTCCACCCTTGTGTCTCTTGTGAAGCCTCTGGTAAGGGCTTTTTTTTTTTTGTTAATTTTTATTATTATTATTATCTCCTGTGCAGCAATAAAAACTGTCTGCTTCAGTTCAACTGACAAGCCAGGAAGGCTTTTGTTTTATATTTTAGCAGACAACCCTTTTTAAAATAACATATTGTGTGTAATGTGGCAATGTCAGACAAAGAACAGTGACAGAAGAATCCACAGCCACAAAAGCAGAGTAGTCATGTATTTTGAGGGGCCCAGCAGAGCTGCAGTCACAGCGTTTATTTTCCTGCCATGCTTGGATCTTGACACTCACTACACCAACAAGTAAAAGTAACTGAGACTTTCCAGGTTGCAGCTAATGAGAGGTACAGAGATTACTCACAGAGCAAGGAAAATTTAAGGAAAAAGTTCTCTCCTCTGCCCCTTCGTGGCAGCTGTTGGGTCAGGGACTGCCTTTGCTGTTTAAACAATGGCAATCCAGCAATACTGAGAAACCAAAACATTGGAACTGTGACCTGCTGGCCGGCACAGAGCTCTGTGCTACAGACTGTCTCCCACTGCCAGCTCAATAAATAACACCCAATTAATTATACACAAACAGCCACTCCTCTGAAATGCCTGGACTCTGGAGGGAGCCTTTTGAGATGGCCCAGCCCTGTTTGTCAAAGTAGGAACTAAGCATCCTCATGCAGAAATTGAAACATGACCCAAAATGGAGGTATGAAAAATCAGAAACCTCTTTAGATACTGTTGGCCTGGGAGTTTAGGAATTGCCTTTAAGCAAAAAGAGGGCAAGAGATTATCCCGTGTCTAAACATGCAACTGTAAGAATTAGAATAAGGCTGTCCTGAAGCTCCACCTAGCTTAGCATCTTGTCTGCAGCAGCAGGCAGTGAGATATCAGGTAACCAAGCAGGCCAAGGTGCTGCATTCAAACTGCAGTATCCACTGGAGACACATACTGAAATCTCATTTTTAACAGGTCCCTGGATCCTCTTTTGTCATCCGTTTGCTAGATGGTGCTGGTGTCTCCGGGCCTAGGGACACCTTGGACAACAGTTTGCAGATTTCAGTGTACTCTACAATGATTGCTCTGCATGTGAGGCCATCCATGCTGACTTCTACAGAAGGTAAAGAGCAAATTATTGCTCATGACATCTCTACTGAATTCTGCAACAGTAGTCCCCATATGGTCCCAGCTTTGCAGAGGTCCTCCTTGGACCTTGCATCTCCTTATCACACCCAGCTAGGCACTGTTTTATTAGAGATCTAAATTTCAGCTGGTCTGTCCCCAAATCATGCTGTAGAAATGTTTACTACTCCTGATGCTCCTCTCTGTTTTTCTTGCCTGTACAGCTTCCCTAGATATACATGCTGTGGGATTTCTTACACTGGAAGAAATGAAGGATCCCAGTAGGTCACCTTGTTCTTCTAGCTGATCCCGTGGTCCTCCAGAAATGTAAGTCAGAAACTCCTTCTGGGAGCAGCCTGTACTCACAGCAGGTCTTGCAGAGTGTCCTGACCACCGTGTGCCGTCAGAGGACCCAGCCATGCACACAGACCAACTGTGCCAAACTGTGGCCCCTCTCCTGATGGCTTCCAGACCTCTTGTTTGGCTTTTTTTTTTTTTTTATATCTTCCCCATCTGAGGTCCCACTGAGTCATGGGATTTCCTGATCAACTTCCCCCACCATCCTCAGCAGAAGAAAGAGGAAGCCTGGTGACATAGTCCTGGTGACTGCGGTGCCTTTCCCTTTTC